GGTGAGTTTGCCCCATTCCTAACAGCCAAATGCATCTTCTGTTCCATATGGTTCCATGTGGCTTGTTTCTAGGGATTTGTTTATTCTAAGGGGCATCTTGTAGAATTCGTATATCCTTGCGTCTTCTCCATAATCTTGAAAATTATAGTATGAATTAACTGAAGAGGGAGGATTTGGAGCATTATTAGCACTTTAGTGAAGTAATTAGATCACTGTTGGCTTCTCTTGGGAGAAGTAGGGAAGGAATTATTAAGTGTCCCTTACCTTCCACTTAATTTTCTATATAAACCATGCTTATATTGTTAGTATCTAATATGGAAGGGAACTCTGTACATAACAATATATGTGTTATACAAACCGCAAATCTCAGAAATCCAGCACACCAATTTTTTTTCTTAACTTGCTAGATCTGGATGTCTGTGTTTATGTATGACTCATGTTATCACTAGAACAATTCACTTTGTGGTTTCTCTTCATGTACTTTGAAGAAATTTAGTGGTATACATGCTTGGGCCACACTTCCCCCTTCTAAGCAGTTCAAAGAGTATTACCAAATAAACCGGCATAAATCATCAGCATTTCTATATATTAGCAACAAAGTCCAAGCAGCAAGAGATAGAGAAATCCCATTTAAAATAACTGTAGACGATGTAAAAAACAAAACAAAACTTAGGAGTCTCCCCTTTAGGATGCAAACCCAGGAACTATATGAATACAACTATAAAACATTTCATATAAATAAAGTCAGGTCTAAACAATTGGAAAAATATTAATTACTCATGGATAGGCAGAGCCAATATAATAAAAATGGCACTTCTACCTAAATTAATCTATTCAGTGCCATGCCAATCAAACTACCAAAAATTATTTTATAAAGCTAGAAAAAATAATAACAAAATTCACCTGGAAGAACAAAAAGTTCAAGGATATCAAGGAAATCAATGAAAAAAAATGCAAAGGAAGATGGTCTAGCCATACCAGATCTCAAACGGTATTATAAGGTGGTAATTATCAAAACAATCTGGTACTGGCTAAGAAATAGAGTGGTAGATCAGTGGGATAGATTAAGTACAAATTACATTATAGTGAATTACCATAGAAATCTAGTATATGATAAACCCAAAGATCCAGGCTTTTGGAACAAAAACTCAGTATTTGACAAAGACTACTGGGAAAACTAGAACATAGTATGGCAGAAACTAGGTACATAGACCAACATCTCACAACATATACTGAGATCAGGTCAAAATGGGTACATGATTTACACCTAACGGGTGATACCATAAGCAAATTAAGAGAGCGTGGAATAGTTTATCTGTCAGATTTGTGGATAAGGGAAGAATTTAGGACCAAAGAAGATATAGAGAACATTAAAAAATGTAAAATAGATAATTTTCATTATATAAAATTAAAAAATTTTTGCACAAACAAAACCAATGAAACCAAAATTATAAAGAAAGCAGAAAACTGGGGGGGAATTTTGCAACAAGTATCTCTGATAAAGGCCTCATTTCTCAGATATATAGAGAACTGAATCAAATTTACTAAAAAAAATTTTTTAAGTCATTCCCCAATTGATAAATGGTCAAAGGATATGAACAGGCAGTTTTCAGACAAAGAAATCAAAGCTATCTCAGATGAAGAAATTAAAGCTATCTATAGTTGTATGAAAAAAATGCTCTAAATCACCTGATCAGAGAAATGCAAATTAAAATAACTTTGAGGTACCACCACCTCATACCTATCAGAGTGGTTAATATGACAAAAAGGGAAAATGTTAATAGGATGTGGGAAAACTGGGACACTAATGAACTTTTGGTAGAGTTGTGAACTGATCCAGCCATTCTGGAGAGTATTTTGGAACTATGCCCAAAGGACTATAACACTTTGCAAACCCTTTGATCCAGCAATACCACTCCTAGATCTATATCCCAAAGATATTCCCTAAAAAAGGGCAAAGAACCTACATGTGCAAAAATATTTGTAGCAGCTCTTTTTGTAGTGGCGAAGAATTTAAAATCAAAGGGATGCCCATCAGTTGGGAAATGGCAAAGCAAGCTGTGGTATGTGATTGTAATGGAATATTATTGTGCTATAAGAAGTGACAAGCAGGATGATTTCAGAAAAACCTGGAAAGACTTAAATGAACTAATGCATAGTGAAGTGAACAGAACCAGGAGAACATTGTAATCAGTAGCAGCAATATTGTTGCATGAAGAACTGTGAATGACTTAGCTATTCTCAGCAATACAGTGATCCAAGATAGGCCCAAAGGACTAATGGTGAAGCAAACTATCCACCTCCAGAGAAAGAACTGATATTGATTGAATATAGACTGAAACATACTATTTTTCACTTTCTTTCTTCCATTTTTTCCCTTTTATTTCAGTCTTCTTGTACAAAATGACTAATATGGAAATGTTTTACATAGTTGCACATGTTTAATCTATATCTGATTGCTCACCATCTTAGGGAGGGGGAGGGGAAGGGAGGGAAGGATAGAATTTGGAACTCAAAACTTTAAATAAAAATGCATACTAACAAATAGGTACCCAGTCAGGCAGAAAGAAAGACTTGCAAAGAGAAACCCAATCTGCTGATCTGAAAAGAAAAATCTTATTTTTTCATTATATTTTAAAAAGGATTTGTTCCAAGAAAGCCCTAATAATAAGAAGCTAAAAATTATCAGGTATATGAGACCCTCTATGATTCATATTTTTTGCTCTTTGGACCACATTTCGAGCATCATGTTCCCAAAGTTCATAAATCTGAGAAAGCTGACCCTCAAAAAATGAAGCAATAAGAAACAAGCTTGCCCAGGAATAAATCTGAGGCCTGCCTAATGGAGTCGGGGCTAAAGTGTCTTAATAAAGAAAGTGGGAGGAGAGAGGTAATATGTCCCCTTCCAATCAAGTTCATTATGAAAAGCATAGAAATTTGTAAGGCAAAAATCGTATCACTTTCTCTACCTAGGACTTATAACGTTATGAGACTGTTATAGTCAAAAAATCTCTCTGCAGACTGGAAGGAAGGGGGGGAGGAAGAAAGGAGAAGGAGAGAATGGGAAGGAAGGAGGAAAGTGAAGAATGGAAGGGAGGGGTCAAGAAAAGGCAATTATGTGCATGTTGGTAGCTGTGTGTCTCACTCTTTTAGAGGGGATGAAATATTGCTTCCTAACATTTTAAAAAAGGACTCTGGTTTAAAATTCCTTATAACATGCATATGAGACCAGAGATATACTACAGGTGTCTAATACTGCTTACTGATAACAACTAACTTTACAATAAGTAGAAGGTGGCAAGACTTGTACGAAATTCAAAAAGAAATATTGGCAAAATGTTCAAGCCAATCTAGACTTGAACCCACTAGAGGATAGACACTAATTATGTTGGCAAGGATAGTTTTATGGTTTTACTTAAGTTAAATGAATTACAAAAGATTTATAAGGTAGATTTCAGCATTACAGATCTTTGTGAATCAATCCAACTAATTCAATTCCAAAAATAAAATTTTCAGCTAAAAGTGTGTTCTTGGAATAGAGACAGGAATAGGTTACCAATATTTACAGATATGGGTACACCATTCTAATATGCTATTTCTGTTGAATAGTAATATTTGTAGATTACTCTGTTACCCAAAATGCAATTTGAAGTGTTTTGGGTAAGACAAGATACCTTTTTATTTTTTTTGTTTTGCAAGGCAGTTGGGGTTGAGTTACTTGCCCAGAGTGACACAACTAGTAAGTGTTGTGTCTGAGGCCAGAATTGAAGTCAGGTCCTCCTGACTCCAAGGCCGGTGCTCTATCTACTGCGCCACCTAGCTGAGCCAACTAGGTGATGAGGATATAAAGCAAAGTAAAGTGTAGTCATTCTCAAGGAGCTCACAGTCTGAGGGGAGAGACAATATGCAAACAACTATGTACAAACAAACTAGATACAAAGACAAGTTGGAAGTAATCAACAGAGAGAAGGCACTAGAACTAAGAGAGACCAGGAGAGGGTTCTTGAAGAAGATGAGATTTTAGCTGGGAGTTGAAGGAAGCCGGGGGGAGCCAGGAGATAGGGTTCAGAGGGAGGCCATTCCCAGCATGAGAATGGCCTCTGAAACGCCTAGAGCTGGGAGATAGGAACGTCCTGTTTGAGGAACAACAAGGAGAACAATGTCATTGGATTGAAAGGGACAAGAAGAGTGCATGGAAGGGTGGGAGTGGGAGAAGCTTATGTTATGAAGTGCTTTGAGCACCACACAGAGGATTTTATATTTGTAGATTACTCTGTTACCCAAAATGCAATTTGGAGTGTTTCGGGTAAGACAAGTACCTTTTTATTTGGATCTCTCATTTAATTTATGGATATATTCTCTATCGATACCCCCCTCTCATAAGCTTTGCAACCTGTGCAGTTCATATCCATATCTTTTCCACTGTTCCTCAATAGAGATGCACCCATCTGTGCAGTCATTGTGAGAGATAAAATAGATTGAGTGAGTGAGTGAATGAGTGAACATTTATGAAGTGCCTACTATGTGCCAGGCACTGTGCTAAGCACTGGGAATACAAATATAAGCAAGCTAGAGTCTTGACATTGAGGAACTTAATATTCTAATAGGGGAAAGATGACACATAGAAGGGAGATTTGAGGGGCAGGAAGCATCCTCAAAGTTTGGGCCCCAGTAAGATAAGGCAAAACTCATCTCTCTGAACTGAGGGACCAAGAGTTCTAGCCCATAGTAACCAGTGAGGAGGAGGCTACGATAATGGTTCTAGTAGAGAAGGCATGGTTGGCATGTGAAGTGGGGTAGGAAGCAATTAGTCTCATACACACACACACACACACACACACACACACACACACACACACACACCCCTCATCATTAAGGAGGAAGGGTAAATTTTTTATTTGGCAGCTTATTAAATTGAGGCTTAATAAGACTTTCTTACTTGATTTATTTCATCTTGTGTCCATGCTAACTGACAAAAAGCCATTTTCTGCTTGCTTTAGCTGTACGTCTCTTCAGAAAGCCGCTTTAACACTTTGGCAGAGTTGGTTCATCACCATTCAACAGTGGCAGATGGGTTGATCACCACTCTGCATTACCCAGCTCCCAAGAGAAACAAACCCACCATATATGGAGTGTCTCCTAACTATGATAAGTGGGAGATTGAGCGGACAGACATCACCATGAAGCACAAACTTGGAGGAGGGCAGTATGGAGAAGTGTATGAAGGCGTATGGAAAAAATACAGCCTAACCGTGGCTGTAAAAACCTTGAAGGTAAGTACCGGTGTGCAGCATACTTTTACTGTGTGTTTTATGCTTATAGTGAGTAGAATAGTTTCTGATGATGTGCAACTTAAATATAGTTAGTTACTGTGAATGAAAAGCAACATAGCCAGAAATTCTGCTGTCCATGAATAAATCCAAGCTTATAAGTTAGTCTGTGCCAGTTTGTTCATTTTAGTCCTTCTAGTTATGTTTCTGTGTAAGGATTGAATTATCCACAGTTTTAATGTGTTGGCACCATGGATGGAAGTAAGAATGACTAAGATTCTTGGGTATAAGAGGTTAGTTATTTCAGTCAGTCAGTCAGCTAGCATTTATTAAGCTCCTACTGTGGTTCTAGTTATTGTGCTAAGTGCTGGAGATTTAAAGAAAGGTAAAAAGGAAAAATCAGTCCCTGCTGTCAAGGAGTTGACAATCTAATGGGGAAAACAAGATACAAACAAAAATGTGCAAACAGAATATAAATTGGAGGTAGTCTCTAAGGTAGGCACTAAGATTAAGAAGGACTGGGAAAGGCTTCTTACAGAAGGTGAGCCTATAACTGAGACTTGGAGGAAGCCATGGAAGCCAGGAGGCAGAGATAAGGAGGGAAAGTGTTCCAGACATGGGAGACAGCCACTGAAAACAATCAGAGTTGGGAGATGTCATGTTTGAAGAACAGAAGAGGTCAGTGTCACTGGATTGCTGAATACATTTAGGACAATAAGGCGTGAGAAGATTGTAAAGATAGTAGGAGGTCAGGTTATGAAATAGTTTGAAGGCCAAACAGAGGATTTTGTATTTGATCCTGGAAGTGATAGAATGCTACTAGTTTATTGAATGGAGGGACAAGGTTAGATGACATAGTTAGACGTGTGCTTTAGGAAGATTAATTTGACAGTTGATTAAAAGATGGATTGGAGTGGGGAGAGACTTAAGGCAAGGAGACCAACTAGCAGTCATTAAACTATGTATGACATGATGAGGCCTTGCACCAGGGTGGTTTCAGTGTCAGAGGCTACCAGGGTAGCAGTATCATCAGGATGGAGCCCTAGGTTTCAGTAAAGTGCAAGAAGACAGATGGAGCGAGAAAGGAAAAGGTTTAGTATTTGTTATCTTTGGACTAGGCATTCTTGAGAGCTCAGTGGAAGGGTTGGGTAGCTTTAAACTGAGAGTTTAAAGGGTTGGGTTGAGGAAGATGGGAATAAGGTGGTCAGTGGGACTAGAGAATGGAGTTTGAACAGTGGCAATCAGAGGTTCAGAATCACTGGGATGGGGTGGGTTTTATAGGGTGAAAGTATGTTAATCATTGAAGAATGAGTTCAGGTAGTTTATTATCATCCACAGAGGTTTGGCTTTGGATGGAGTTTTACCAGGGCTTAAGGTTGGGCAGCTGTGTGTGTTTGTCAGCCAACCAAGTAACTTTTTGAAAGAGATATTTACTAAGGTGGCACAATAATAACTATTGGTACAAAATATTCCCCAAAAAATCTGTGACACATTCTCTCACAAGTACATATAGAGGCCAGTGTAAAGGGAGCTCAAGTTTAGAGAGCACATATGATGAAGGGGTGACAGCTCCTGTTTGATGGATGTCCTTTTCTCCTATTCATGGGGTAATTGAGAAGTTCCCCATAAACATAGTGAATCTTCATTGTGCCCTTGGCTACCCAGTTCTGCCACTGCTGTCAATTGATACTTTCAGTTTTGGAAAAAGTTCTTTGGAAATTATGAATTTCAGTTAAATGCTGGCATTAGGTAGTTTTTTACTCTTAAGATTTAATAGAAGGAAAAACTTTGAGTTGAGATCTTTTAAGAGTTATTTCAAGTGGCTTGTATTATCTTCTTTGAAAGTGAGCTGCATAAGGTATCTCCAAATATTGCCTCTCTCCCTTTGGAGACATGGCAAGATTATATTAAAGCCGTATGATACAAGAGACTTTATGACTGAAATGATCCTCACACTTTATTATTGGCTGTGATTTCAGCCTATTAGAATAATGCTCAGCATTTTTGATTTCCAAGGTTAATACTTTCTTCTGAAGTTCTTTGACATAGAGCCCCCAGGAATGGTTTTTATTTTTCAGCTTAATTCCTTCAAAGTTGTGGAACTCTACAATCCCTTCTGCTTCTAAATCTTATGGTTGTATGGCTTTACTTGGGACTAGAGTGTCCCCTAGTGTCGACCAGCAGTATTTTCTGATCCCTTTAGCTGAACTGTGGTTATGTTGAATTATCAAGAAAAATGGAGTTTCAGTTCTTATTGTAGATAACTGCAAGTGGAAAAAAGAAGAAATATCCAAAGAAATTAAAGTATAAGTCAGAGTCATTGAAAATCAGAATCGAAAAGAACTTCAAACACCATCTAACCTTCTTTCTGTATAAGGAAACCGAGGCTCCCAGTGGGCCAGGGACTCCTCTGGGGAAGCTCATGACAGATTTGGAAACAGAATACAGGTTTCTTGACTGGAACTTCAGAGTTCTTTCCACCATGCTCTGCTGCCTTTCGGTGTTGTTAATCCTTCTCAAAAGAACTTCTGACTTGTTCTCAGTTTTTAGCAATGTCAAACATTTTTCTTTTTAGAGGTTATGCTAATGTAACTGGAATTTTCCTTTAGTAGTACCACAATTAAGTTGGGAAACTATTATCCCTAACTGGTTAAAGTGAGTAGTAGATCCACCAGAAAGAACCTTAGAAATCATTCAGTTCAGCCCCCTCATTTTATAATGTAGAAACCAAGGCCCAGAAAGGTTAAATAACCAGTAGCAGGTAATAGACCAGGATTTTAACCCAGGCCTTCTTACTCCAAATCTAGTGCTCTTGAGGGAACCTTCCATTTTACTGAGGTTAATTCTTGGTATTAGCATAGAAAACATTGTCACAGACTAAACAACAGAGTAGGAATTATCAAAGCAGATGGGGTCTTAGAACAGAAGTAGAAGCCCTGAATGCTGCCACTGTTTCTGGAAATAGACGTAATAATGTATTGCCTACACGGTGATATTGTGGTTTTTTTTTTTTTTGGCTAGTCAGTGGGGTTAAGTGACTTGCCCAAGGTCACACAGCTAGTAAGTATCAAGTATTTGAGGCTAGATTTGAACTCAGGTCCTCCTGACTCCAGGGTCAGTGCTCTATCTACTGTGCCACTTAGCTGCCCTGATATTGTGTTTCAATACCTAGAAGTTGGCTTCTAGGAAGTCAGCCTACAATGTCAACAGGAAATTTCCTAAACCACCCTCAGCTGACAAATCCAAACTAGAAGATAATGCCATTGATGCTCTTCCTCTTTTTTTTTTTTTTTACTTTTCATGAGCCCTTGGTTTTTAAACTAAATTGGAGGCTACCAAAGGTGGATGGCTAGAATAATGAAGGGATATGAACTATACTATGTGAAGATCATTTCAAGAAACTAAGGAGAGCCTGGAGTAGAAAAGACTGGGGAAGGGGGGTCCTTAAAGTAGATTATTGTTATTGTTGTTGGTCCTTTCTCAAAGAGGACTGATGGCATCATGAGGGTGTTGTCTTTTTTTGTTTTTTTTTTTCTTTCTTGATTATTTATTTTTAGTTTTCTACATTCACTTCTGTAAGATTTTGAGTTTTAAATTTTCTTCCCCTCTCTCATTTCTTCCCCCTGCCCCAACAGCATGCAGTATGCTATAGGCTCTATTTATGCATTCATATTAAGCATAGTTTCCCATTAGTCATGATGTAAAGAGCAATTAAAAGTAATGGGAGAAACCACGAGAATAAAGCAATAAAACAAAACAACAAAGGAAAAGGAGAGCAAATAGTATGCTGCCATCTGCATTCAGACTTCCTAATTCTTTTTCTGTATGTGGATAGCATTTTCCATTGTGAGTCTTGTGGAGTTGTCTTAGATTCTTGCATTGCTGTGAAGAGCTGAGTCTATCAAAGTCAGTCATCACACAGTGTGGCTGTTACTGTGTATAGTGTTCTCCTGGCTCTACTCATTTCACTCTGCATCAGTTCGTGTAAGTCCAGATTTTTTTGAAGTCTGCCTGCCCATCATGTCTTATAGCACAATAGTATTCCATTACAGTTATTATATACCACAACTTGTTCAGCCATTCCCCAATTGATGGACATCCCCTCAATTTCCAATTCTTGGCCACCACAAAAAGAGCTGCTATAAGTATTTTTGTGTATGTGGGTCCTTTTCCTGTTTTTATGATCTCTTTGGGATGCAGACCTAGAAGTGGTATTGCTGGGTCAAAGGGTATGTACAATTTTGTAGCCCTTTGGGCGTAGTTCCAAATTGCTTTCCAAAATGGTTGGATCATTTCACAGCTCTACCAGCGATGCATTAGTGTTCCAATTTTCCCACATCATCTCCAATATTTATCATTGTCCTGTTTTATTATGTTTGCCAATCTGGTAGGTGTGTTGTGGTACCTCAGAATTATTTTAATTTGCATTTCTCTAATCAATAGTCATTTAGAACATTTTTTCATACATTTATAGATAGCTTTAGTTTCTTCCTCTGAAAACTGCCTGTTCATATCCTTTGACCATTTATCAATTGGGGAATGGCTTGTATTCTTATAAATTTGACTCAGTTTTCTATATATTTTAGAAATGAGGCCTCTATCAGAGACACTGGTTGTAAAAATTCTTTCCCAGTTTTCTGCTTCCCTCCTAATTTTGGTGACAATGGCTTTGTGCAAAAACTTTTCAATTTAATGTAATCAAAATTATCCATTTTACATTTCATAATGTTCTCTATTTCTTGTTTGGTCGTAAATTCTTTGCTTTTCCATAGATCTGAGAGGTAAGCTATTCCTTGCTCTTCTAGTTTGCTTATAGTATCAGTCTTTATATCTAAATCCTTTACCCATTTTGACTGTATCTTGGTATAGAAAAAATTTCCAGGTCCAGATGGATTTACAAGTGAATTCTATGAAACATTTAAAGAACAACTAATTCCAATACTATATAAACTATTTGGGAAAATAGGTGAAGAAGTCCTACCAAATTCTTTTTATGATACAGA